TTGGAGAAACACAATAATTAACTGAATGCAAAAAGGGATTATCCGACAATCGGGCATCTCGTCCCGAGAACGAGTCGTCGACCGTGACAGATCTCTCCCCTTCTCTCCCACTGTATATCAGGGGAACATTTAGTTTGTGTTATCGTCCAGACTTTGTCATCCAGACTTTGCACAGAAATCGCGAATACAGTAATAATAATAATTCTCCCCTTCCTCCCTTTGACGGTTAGGTTTAGTACCACTTGACGGCCCCCGACAAACAAAGTATAATATTAACAAACTTAATTTCTAGCAAGCACCGACTTGTGAAACTCTTGTTACACATTCGAACGTGACGGTTCGAGTGGCAATTATGCGGTTTTTAATTAAATCACTTCCGCAGAGGTTCTTCTCTGTATGTATATCGCACAATATGCAAATGATTTTTTGTCATAATACGTCCTCGTGTGTGTGTGTGTGTCGTGTAAGCCGACTAAGCGAATTCAAGACCAACAGCTCAGACTCGTCGAATATCCATATCTATGCACGGTCCGTATGTACTTGCTACTCTTAAGACGGATTTACAAAAATTTGCATTGAACGCGCATTCGGGGTTCAACAAAATTATAATATATTATTATATATTTTGTTCGCGTCCCATCTCTGTTTTGTTGTAATCCAAGACGGTAGTTTTTAGTAAGACGGGGAAGGTTTTTGGTAAAAAAAAATTACCCACATATTTTTGAGAAAATTGTATAATGTATGTTATCATATTTCATTATAGATCTACTTTATGTCTAATTTTAGACCGGAAATCCTATAAAAAAGATTCAACCCCTGCTAGGGCTTATGATATTTGTATTGTTTTTCAGCGTTTATCCGTAGTGCTGCATCTTGAAAATATTCCATAGATATTCGAGGGAGTAATACAAAGCTCTACAGAGCGCTATAAGTTGATAATTATATAAATTTGTTAGATGACTGCTCGATTTTGATGCAGGGCAAGAGGTGAACTTTTTAAATTTTAGGTCCAATAATCAGGTAGGAAATGGATTCAGCGGTTCAGAAGACAGGTCTAGACAAGAGATATATTTTCAGCAACGCGTCGAAGGTAAAACACGACCCGTGTCAAACGAAACGTTTAAATGGCGCAGTCGGTAGGATATTCATATATTATCAGATTAGATATTATGCATTAGACGTATACACGTTACATGATTTTATAGATTCCGGTCGGATGCTGTACGTGTATTGTTGTGTATCGTTCAAGTCGAAGGAAACTTCCCTGGCGACGTTAATAAATTGATAAGCTCGTCAGGTGGGCATTGTGCGCTGACAATTAAACGTCGCCGATTGAAGTCCTTTTGTCCCGTCGAACAGGTGACACGACCGAGTATGATGATGCACGGCGTGCGGTGGGTGGGTGGGTAGGTATACAACCTCCACCACCTACTCCCTCCTCTCGTGTAATTTAATTATCCACCCTTAACGGCTCTCCGGGCTCTTGACGTCTTCTTAATGTGCTTATCTCTAGAGTTCTAAACCCGCCGGCGCTATTGTTAGGCCTAAAACAATACACGTCCTCGCCGCGATAACACGGCTGCAAAAATACACGACAACGGCCGCGAGTCGCGTAGGATTTCGGAATAATATAATATTCGAAACTTCAGTTGCTGCTCATTATTATTATTATTATTGTTATCGTCGTCACCGTCGTTAGGTATTGTACTTGTTCCGTATTGTACAACGGCGGCGAGCCTTCCTTCGAGGCCGACCGAAGAAACGGTAAAACGGTATCTAACCGGCCGACGGCGTTAATGCGGTTTCGCTGAAAACAATTATTAAAACGCCTACAATGAAAGCGCGCGTTCAACGCGGAATACTTGAATATAATTTAACGGAAATGTATTACACTTACACGATGTAAATATTGTTTACCGCCAGAACCGTTCAAAACGTACACGTTTATAATATTCTTATGGCCAACGCCAGTTTTGTACATCCCATCAGTAGTATCTTAAAGCCGGGTCCACACTAGGAAACATTGTGCGCGCACTTGTTCGACGAAATGTTGCCCGGTGTTGGCGAACTTGTGCGCCAGCATGTACGCGAACAATGTTCGTTGTGATCTATCTGTGTTCGCTCAAATTTATTTTTTACCAACCCGCTTAAAAATACTTAGCCATAGGTGTAATGTAGCACAATTCAGTCAGTCGTTGGTGCAGTGTACTAGTGTGCCGAATGAGAAAATTATCTGTATTTTAATATTATAAGTTTTTTTCCTTTTACATATGAGTGACGAAGATGTTATTGTAGCTAGTGCGGCGTTTCTTTGTACTAAATTAGCCTTAAAAAAAACAAAAATCTAAAACTAAAAAGCGCCTGTTGTGGCAAAGAGCAATTTTTAATAGTAGACCGCGGTACAATGGGAGTGACTTACTATGTTTTTATACACAATTGTGTGACAATATAAAAATAAATGTCACTTTAAATATTGGGATTTTTAAACATTATCACGAGCATAACTGTGTAGTGTACCTACTCTATATTTTATTGGTTTTTTTCTGAAAACAAAAAATTGTTTTCGCGTTGGTTGGTATGTTTTTAGGTAATACGACCTCGACATAATATTTTAAAGGATTTTTCATAAAAATCTGTCGTCAACATTTGTTTTTACTAATGAAAACTAAAAAAAAAATGATTTAGGTTCCTATAAGTTGTGAATGAAACAGCTATCAGATATTACGGCTCACTACAACATTTTTAAACATAGTTAATTAGATTAAAATTTGTATGGAATATTTCTTCAATATTACTTATTAAGTACTATCGATAAACCTTGACAAACAATATAAATATCATAAGCCCTTTAACCTAAAAAGTGTAGACATTTTTGCTTCATTTCTCCACATTGAGCAAAGTTTTTATAGCTTAAGGTCTAAAAATTAGACTTAGGTAGATTTAAGCGGGAATCAACATGTACGATTTTATTATAAATAAGTAGTCAAACAGATTTGTGTTAATTGATATGTAAATTATAACATCACATCATAATATTATTTCTAACAATATCATGATAATTTATAGAGCATTGACGTTTGGTAACATTATATTTCATTACACTATACTACAGTGATGTAGCCAGTGAAGTATTTCCGAGGAGGCGCTGTAGTGATTACCTCCCTTGGCATATGGCAGTTTATATAGTACATAAGACTAACAATAATTACTAGTAATTATATCATATTTCCATGTCTCCAATTATCTCTACAATTAAAATGAGCATCAGAATAGACGCGATAATATAACATTGCAGTGTTGGGAATCAAAAGGATGTAAACTATGACTCGACTCCAATGTTCTGGCCAAACCTGCATTGTGTGAAGGTATTACAATTATAGGCTAACGATGGTTTATTGCTTTGGAGTGTTCGCATCGAGGGGGGGGTCGTTCCGACCGACTGCTTGTCGCCTTTTTTAGTTGCTTACACATTTCCCCCCTCCCGGCTCCGTTCCAGTACAAAAACGGCAATTTCCTCGCCTTTTTCATGCATTTCTGAACACCTAGTTCGCCGAGATCCACCGCCGTTTTGTTCGTACAGTCACGCGGTAGACACAACACACATGCACCGCATGTTATCATCATTGTAATATGTGTACAGTTCACGCAGGACCAACCGTATAATAACAATATAGAGGGGCACGTACCCCGGCCGTTCATCATTTCGGGTGGACTTCTCCCGCGAGTCACGTAACAGTGGGCGGCCTCGACGATAAAGCAAAAGTGCACACGAACTGATAAAAAAAAAAAAATAAATAAATAACATGTACGTACGGCCTCTTTATCATTTTTTTACGAGGACGCAAAAACTTCAACGGCAATCTTATCTGTACCTAACTGATATGTAAAGTACTCGTACGCGAATTTGTTGGAGTTTTGTTTGTAGGTAAACAAAAATAGCACCCTCGGAAGGGTAAAAGTGTCAAAAGTCATTAAGCAATTTTAGCCGAGACGTTTGAAAGGGTTCGAGAGGATTAATTGTGAGTATTTCGCGATTTCCTGACTATACCATTAACTCGATAAGAAAGTTATTGAATTACATTCAACTAATTGACAAGCGAAACGCCTAACACCGTTGACTCCCTTTAACTCTTCGGCAGTTTCTTCTTGGAGTTTTGCTACGGGAAAATCGTAACGGTCCTATTTTTAATATAATCTAAAATAATACAATTTATTAGGCTTTAACAACTGAGCCGGTAAGCTTAACACGGATTTCCAAAAATCTACATTTGATGTTCATGACAACTCAAAGTCGCTTCTTGACAGCAGACAATATAATTTGTACTCGAGTCTTTCTATGTTGCGCTGAATGGTGACTAGCTGTTTAACTTGAGATTAAAAAATGCAATAAACAAAACACGTTGTATTGATGCTATCGACGGAATATGTATATTTTAATTTAGACACACTACCTTATAATAGTATTGCCATTTTTTAAATGCTCACAATAAAATAATAATATTATTACAAACAACACAAGGGTAACAGCCTAGGACGTTTTGAAATTAACAAGATATCCTATATAATATATAAATATTTTATTATACAATTATTATTATTATTTATTTTTTACTTAAACACTAACAGCGCTACGACTAACGTACTTTGGTAAAGATAGTATTTAATATAGTAATAATAAAATTGTGACAACTTGGCGATGGCTTCTACATAATAATATAAACTAAATAGTAGTTGTATTACAATACAATAGTTTTGGAAGAGCTGCACTTTTTTTTGTGTGTCTATTCCATTCTTGATTTTTATCGTTCTATCGTTGGAAGTAAATAAATAATAAAAAAAAAAAAAACAAAACAAAGCGATAGCCATCGCTCGAGTAATTTACAATAATAATACTAATAACCTTAAAAACTTAATGACTAGTCGAGTGACGATTTGGGGGGGGGGGGGGGTCGCTCGCCCAAAACAAGTGGTTATAAGAGCCGCAAGAGTTAAAGACAATATTAATAGTATAATAATATAATTGTTATTATTATTTAAATCAACAACGAATAAGGTTTTAACCGACAAAAAGAACAAACAAAAAATAATAATAAATTTTAAAACAATAATAGTTGGAAAACAAAAAAAAAAATCTCAAACCGTAGAAATCATTTGACGTCGTACATTTGAATTTGAGACTGGTCGCCGTTGTTTGCCGCACCCGAAGTGCCGAATTGGTGACCGTTAGTGGTGATGGCCGCACCGTGGTGATGCCCGTGTAGGTGATGTCCGTGAAGGTGAGCGGGATCCGTGGGGGTTGTTCGGCGGTCACCCCCGTTGCCACCCCCGTTGTTGTTGACCACGGCCATTGGCATTGTGTCGGTCCTCCCTCCGGCGCCGACCTATGTTTTTTCAAGAAAAAAATTACATATTTTTTAATTCCAACAACATAAATTTAATTTGAACAAAAAAATCATCGTTGATTTTACATAAAAAAATTGTCTCGATTTAAGGGTAAGACGGTAGAATAAGGTTAAACATCCATGAAGGCGAAAACGCGTTAGACTGTATTTTAATTATTAATTTTTTTGTTAGGTTAAGTTGCGTTAGGCGAGGTTTGGTCAGGTCAGCTGCCATTGTTACCGATAGGCAGTATAGGATCAACAAATATGAATAAAATGATTTTCAGATACTTATCGACCGTCGATTCTCCATCACATAGTAACCGAGTAGTTTAATACGGTCAAAGTGTAATTTCCCACCTTTTTTTGAGATGTCCTTAACGAAAACCATGTTTGAGATTTTTGAGAAAACTACACATGTTACAGTCTCACTCTAGTCAGTGATATGTGCAGGCCTAAGCCCCAAACTACATCTAAAACGGCCTGTATGCCTAACGAATATTCCATAAAAATTTAGAAGTAATCAATAATTATAGATTGCTGTAATTTTAAGATGTTAACATTTTTAAATGTTTTTCTCCATTTTGGAGTGGAGGGGTGAATTTTTTATTTTATTGATTAGCCTAACTATACTTATGCCACAAATGTTGTCAATTTTATAAATTCATGCAATCTTAAGAACATATTTGTGTAAAAAAAAAGTGGTTAGGTAAATGATGCATTTAAAACGTGTCTTCGAATCCATATTAATTGATCTATAATAGTGTGAAATATCATTATTGTTAAAAAATAAATACAAAAATCAATTATGTAATATTTTTTTTTAATTTCGATAAAAATAAACATATTGATTTTTTTTTTCAACTATAACTTTTTAATTTTGTGGTACATTTAAGAAAAAAATGTAATTCTCTTAACTACTACACTGAAACTTACCGTCGGTGGTATGTGTGTGGCGTGTCGCTTGAGTTGTGCCAATGTGGCCGGGTTGTATGCCATGTTGGCGAACACCATTCTCTCTTCGAAATCGTATTCGCACAGTATTTTATTTTCGCACAAGTAAAACCGGTCGCCGACGCAAAATCTGTGAAAATAAATGAGAAAAAAAAAATATATATTATTTCGGTTTAAATATTCCACGTTTGTGTCATCCCATTTAGTCGTATGCAATAAGCGCTACTCGTGTCCGGCCGGAGACACTGGTTGTTTGTTATGCGAGCTCGGTAAGTGTTTGACATTAAGATTGTCGTTATTGGTGTTTAATCGAAAACGGGTAAGAGAAAAAAAAAACAAATAATAGCACTTTGGAAAAAAAAAAAATATATAATATTTAGTTTTGATATAATTAATGTGTTTTGGTATTTACACAGTTGTTGAGAAAGGGGAAATTAAACGAGTGTTTTTGTTTTTTAAGTAAATAAATCTCTTTTTGCGGACGAGCAGAGGGGTGAGGGGGTGGGGGGGGGGTTTGTTTGCGAAATCTTCAAATCGACTTTATGAAGAGACGACGGTTTGTTTATGAGCCGGACCGATCGGATTTATGAGCCATTTAAAGGTCGAGGGGCCAGTCAATCGTGTCACACGCCGACCGTGCAGGGAATTCCCGGATTATGTCTTTATAGTGTCGATAAATTAAGAAAGTTTGCTCGCAGCTCTGCCACGCTTAGTTTGCGCCACTTAATGGCGTTGTTTTCGGCGATGGGGCAATATAATGTCGCGGCGATTAATAACCGATTTTTAAAAGTTTTTAAACGGTTTTTGTCGACGTCGGCCCCAAACGCAGTTACACTCACTGTGTACACGAGAGCAGATAATATATTATTATTATTATTGTTATATTATAAGGGTGATGGGGGCTCGCAGTAAATCAAAAAACGGCTATTAGCTTCGACGCCAGTCGCAACCCTTCTCCTTGGAGATTGCGAAGAAAAAAAAAAAAAAACACCCTAAGAAAATATGTACACTTATTTGAATAAAAAAAAAAAAACTCTGATTACTCCGAAATTTATGCGAGTTATTCTTTAGGTAATCATTTTTCCCTCTCGGTAGATTGCCCTAAAATGTTGACCGACAGTCGACGTTTTCAGTGGATTACTTTCAACGTGAAATGTTATTAAAATACAAAACAGTATGTTACTGCATATTAATGAAATAGCTTCTTTTTTTTTTATCTAGAAAATCTCAGCAAATAATTAGCAGCGATGAAGGTATTTATTTTTACAATGATGTATTTTTATTTTTTTAATCGTTTAGGTATTTATTTAGTATTTTTTTTTTCGCTTCGATTCTTTCACGTAGCAAGTTTAAAGATCAAGAATCTTGAGTATGCGTGAGTGAACCACATCAATCAACAGGTCTCGGGAAAATATTTTTATTATATTGTTTTGCCCCCATTGGTAACACCGGCAAGGTTAAGTTTTGGAAAGGACAGGCGATCAACCCTAGTCGTGTCTGCTCTAAAATCACAAATTTAAACGCATTATATACCTTTTATTCCGCTGTTAATACATTTTGTACCGCCTACAGTTTTCAATTTGCACATATTTGAAAGTGTATTTTTATCAGTTTGATAATTCTAAAGACACTTTTTCAAGACAAAAAGAGGCTTTTTTTTTTCGTAAATTATTCACACCGATACGGATTCCGGAGTGCGAAATTATGCATAGTACTTATCCATACGCACACATGATATGTGTGTACATTATCCGAGTCGCGTGTGCTTGCCGTCAGAGTTGGACTTTTCACACGAGAATCCTTTCACGGCGGCAATTACATTTTTAACCAAGCGCCGTCTTCCACTCAGATGATATACACGGTCTTATATAATATAATATTCTCACAACCCGTCGAATAATTAATCAGCACCGTAAGTAAGCGCCTTCCGCTGTACTACTGCTCTCGCCCCTCGTCTCGGGGCCAAAATCAAGTTTCCTTCTCGCTTAAAGTTGCTAACGACTAACTTTTAACGCACACACAAACTCGGTCGTCGCACATTAGCTCCCTATTTTACTTTCGGCTGGGCGGCGACACTTTTGTGCACTTTACCGGGTGAATAATAATCGTTAGGTGACGACGACAGCTGATGACGTTTCGACTAAACGGGCAATATAATATTATTCCAATGATATTACATCTAAGGCATATCTGTGGTCGGTTCCACACCTGGTAACGTTTTCCGTTAACACTGCCAGGCGACGGTGGGCATGATAAGATCTGTTGAATTGAATCGATATGGACGTGTATAATATCTCTGATGAGGTATTTTGTATGTGACGTTGCAACGTCAGTGGGTTTTAATGGAAACGACGTGGAACATTATATATCAATCCGGGACGACTTGAAAATTAAAATCTGTTACAACAACTTTGGCCGCGGGTGAAATTGAGTAGAACAAATCGCGTTATGATTCGGTATCGCCCTCGCCCCCCCCCCCCCTTGGGGTATCCACCGCGGTCCAAGTGCTGCACAGATGTGTGCATATTACTTAAATCACAAAATTGGGCTTCTGCTGCCCCTTTTGAGGGCTTTAATGCACCGTGTGTGTGTGTGATGCGAACAGAACAACCGTGTCGCGACGTCGTTCAATAATTAAGTCCACCCAAGGGATTCGGAAGGCGTACACGGAAAGTGGCAGAGAGGTTAAAAAAAAAATACACCGTTGGTCGCCGCCAATGATTAATATGCCCTAATGTCGATCGGATAATGTCGTCCCGGGGAAAAATACCAAAAAAAAAAACAATATATTAAAGTACCTACTCGGTCTTAGTTTTACAGTTGCGTTTAATTTTACAATGTTGTGCTTCTATTTTGCTGTCTGGACCCGCAGTATCTCTTTTAAACCGCTCAACCGATTTCTTTATGTAGCAAGTTTATATATTAGAAATTGTATTTGAAAGATACTTTATTAAGCCAAAGATTTAAACACTTTAATCCAAGTTTGTATGGAATATTCTCTGAATAAAGTACTCTCGATAAACGTTGAGAAATTAAAAAAATATCCCTTTCTCCGAGAAGGGGTAGAAAATGTTTTATTTTATTAGATGTAATTTTAGGGGCTTCAAGACTGAAGGTAGATCTAGACTGGGGCTAAAAAATTTACAATTTTCTCAAAAATCTCAAGTCAGGTAATTGTTTCACTAAAACCCACTTTTTTTTGTCATATACATAAGTATGTGTGTACCTACTTAAAATGTTATGTGTTATGTTGAAATATTATGTTAAGTTACTTTGCTTAAAACGTTTTAATTAGCATATATTATATTATGTACATTTTTTTTTTACATATAATTATCAATTTCACCTAACTTAACTAATAGGGAAATCACTAACGACCCGCGGGTCTAATAAAAGGGTTTAATGGTTTAAGTTTTTTTGAAACCGACGTTTACGGTTCTCGCGGGCGAATCCGAAAGAGATGTTTTTGGACGTGTTTAAGCCAATATATTATAATATTGTCTCTTTATATATATATATATATATATATAATAAAGTAATATATTGTTATGTAGTTTCGGTATATTGCGGTCGATCGGTTGCCAGCCCCAAGATAGTGATAAAAGCAAACGACGCAGAGAGGGTGCACAAAAAAAAAAAAAAAGTCAAGTAATGTTATCAGTTTAAGGCGGATGTGCGTTCTTTTTCTTGTTGAAAAAGTGTTGGTTTTTTTTTTTTTTTTTATGAGTCTCTCGCGTTTTCCATCTCCTCCGTCATGCACGAGAATTATTGCCTTTATCTAAACAAGCCGATGTCATTAGCAGTGTGTTGTGCCATTTCCGAATTTCATCTCTTTTCGGCGCTGTCGCTGTCGATGGGAGTTTTTTTTTTATTTTATTTTTTAGTTTTGTCCGCGTTCATACCCCCCCCCCCCCCTCCCCACGAATGGAAAACGATTCGCAAACTCCGCCTTTTCGCTGTACGGTAAAAAATAAAAATAAGCAATTGTAAAAAAAAAATATATATAAAAGAGTACACACAAAACAAAGACAACACAAACATTTCGTATAATAGTAAAAACGTGACTCCGCCGCAACCGAAAAAAAACACATCACCTCACCCCTATTCGATCGTCATCCCCTTCGGCCATCCCCGATTTATTAACTAACATCATGGTTCGAAAAACCGTTTAAACCGCCATAGTGTCTCTTGATATATGACGTCCCAAATGGCCTACTGTGGTTAAACTCATTTGCTCTTGGCTGTGAAAAATACCGATGCAATAACGTCAGGGTGATCCATTTGATATTATGCTATAAGACACTCGTTTTTCGAGATATTACATTTGCCCTTATAATTGTCACGTTTCTTCGGTTTCCCAATGTGAAATTCTCATTTAAATTCGCACGGTCAGATAGCAAAATTAATTATACAAACGCTAACATTTTTAAAAAAAATTTTGTCCGTATTTTTATGGAATTAACACATGTATTCCCCTTTTAAAAAATACAAATGATATTAATTGATTATAAAAAAAATCTATTAAGACGATGATATCCATCATTATGTGTATCAGTATATGTATATATGTACAAATGGATTGATATGTATTTATGTATATTGATTGATGTATATTTAAATAAATACATACAACATGTTGATTACAATATATGTGCACATCAATTTGACTATAAACACTAAAGCCTTTCTACAAAGGACACTTTTGACGGTCCTTTCAGCAAAACAATCTTTGTTTGGGTAAAAAAAAACCGTATTATTAAAATAACAACTCACCTACAAAATAGAATGTAATATGTTATACATATTGCTTTGACCTGATGTCACAAAGGGGTTTTTTTTCAACCGCGCAAAGGTTGTTAACTGCGACATTTAATATTATATTATTATTTTATGAGTGTTTGTGACTTTTTAGTAATTAACATTTTACCGGAGTCTGTTTAATAAAAAAATATAAGTAACATGTTGAATATATTATATTCAACCTGACCGATTTGTATTAAAGTACAATTTAGTTACTATTTTTGATCATAATACATTTTCATAGGCTATCATTTTCATTTTCATACCTTAGAATATATTTTATTATGATTTAATGGAAAATTTTTCAAGTGATATTAATGGCTTGAAGTC